TCCAACACCACTGGCTGAAATGCAGCCCCACACCATGAATGACTGTACATACTCACTCTTGTCCTTTTCTTCCGACCACCTCTGTACATACTCATGAAAATTTGAAACAAAAAAAAGTTTGAATTCATCACTCCACAAGACCTGTTTCCAATTATTTTCATTCCAGTTCTTATATAATTTGGCACAACTTAGCCTTTACTCTCCGCCTTCTTTAACAATGGTTTCCCAACCACCCTTCAGTTGAAACCATTTCTGATAAAGCTTCAGCAAACAATAGAGGGATCAACAGTACTGTAGATGGATAAACAGAAGAAATGCCAAGTTCTCAGCTAAAAGCTCTTCATGCCTGTCAAACGGTGTTATCTTTGTGTTTGTACTTGGTTTTTGTATTTATCACTTTCGAGTAACAACTGGTCAAATCTATTAACCATATGAAATCAATTTCTTAGCAGATGTTAAAAGTTTGGCACAAGTACAGAAAAAGTGTGGTTGTGGTGTTTCATAAAGCTCTCAACTTTAACAGTGTTTCTATTACTAATAAACACTTGCTCTTATTCTTCATGCACAAATGAATCCTCCAGAAATGAAAAATGTTTTCTGTCAGTAAAAAGAAGTCACACAAAACATGTGCAGCAAAGGATAAAATCAAGTAATTACTGTTATCAAGTGAATACTATTTACACCACAGTGACTGCAGTCAGTGCTTCTGCCTTTGTGTCTCTCCGATTTAAAAAAGTGTGTATGTGCTTCTTTCTTTTGTATCAGTCTTTCAACAGGAAATACATATTCACCTGTTGAGTTGGATGTAAAAAAAAACTAATAAGGAATAGCGTTACTGTTTACGCTTCTAAATATTCAGTGCATGTTTGCAGAAGCAGTCATGCATCTAAATCCTCTCTGCTTGCCTCTCCTCTGCCCTGCTGTTATTACTGAACAGGTGGTGTGTCGAAGGGTCAGGACTGCCGAGAAAATCTGTGCTCAAGTGGTCATGTCTGCAGCCTTACCAGTTAAATCAGGCTTTATAGGAATGGAAAATAGCATTTTGGTTGGGCTCCAACAGCTCGGGATAGTGGGTGAAACTAAACTGAAACAGCAGAGAGGTGATGATGCAGAGGCTCAAGGTTTAGGATGTTTAAAGGAGAAGTGGGGAGAACGAGAAAATATTTTTCATCCTCGACCAGAGGACATGTCTTCACAATGTTTGCTTCAATTATCTTGAAAAGTATATACGTTTAATAAAGTCAGAGTGTCTGCTGTGAATTTTACACTAAACGTTCTACTTTCTTGTGATAAGAAATAGAAAATGTCTGAAAACAAAACAAAAATTACTTTAAATTTACATCTTCATGGTTTTTCTTTTCATTCTGTCATAGGCACCGGTTTGATTGGGTCTTTTGATTTTGATTAGTTTAATATAAACCTGAAACATAGAATTTGTCTGCCTGATTTCTTCTTTTGTGTGTGTATCCCATAATAAACTGCATTATACAATCAAAAAAACTCTGACATAAAATAAAGCCACCCTGAATAATCACAAGATACTGCTCTTGTAATCAAATTGAAAAAAACTGATTACATCCCTACCAGCTGTGTTTGTCAAATCATTGCTTAACCATTAAATTACATGAAGATGGCTTTTTTTTATTCAGAAATAAGTGGCACATGACAAATAAAGGACAAATAAATTAAGAACCCTAAGTTAACTTTGTTTTGTGAAGACTCCTGATTATGAATTTTATAAAACTGGAGTGTAATAGATAGATATGCAGTGCAGTAACTTTAATACCTACAGCAGTTCAAGCTCAAGCACAGCTGGGTTTTGCAGCACAATGATCCAAAGCATGAGACCAGGTCCATATTTGTATAGCTCAGAAGGAATTCATTCATAGTTTTGCAGTGTCCTGGTCAAAGTCCAGACCTGAATCCTACTGATGTGCTGTTGTTGGGCCTTTAAAAATCAGATCACTTGTAAAGTGTCCATTGTAGCTCCATTAATGCAGTTCTACAAAGAAAAGTGAGACCAAAAACTATAACAGTGCCATAAAATAATTTATATCTATTGAAACTGCTTTTGTTTTTTCTTAAATATTATTGAAAGCAATTAAAAACTTCCAAAGCACTCTATGTATAGTCACAGCTTGAGTTGCCACTATACATGGAGTGTAGATAAAGCAGATAAATCAGCAGATAAAGCTCCATCTTTATCTACTGTAGCAGTCATTGAAATGTAGTCGAATCAGTGATTATGTGTGACCCAATTCTTTTTTTGTGTGTCATACTTTCCAAAGCTTTACTTACTGTGACGAAATAACTCACCTGTTCACTCCTGCTGGCTCACGCTGAAATGAATATGAAACCAACATAAAGTATAATCTGATACCAGATAATAACAGTGGGATGCTCCCTGCAGGTGGTTGTACACATAACGGATGAGAATGACTGCACACCAGAGTTACTCCACTCTATCTACACCAGAGACAACATACCTGAGAGCATCGCACCTGGAACCTCACTGCTGCAAGGTAACACACACTGATCTGTCAAGTAGGGTCTGTGTGAACACAAAACCAACACATTACACCTGTGGTTAGACTGTACAGCTCATCTGTGTGTGTGTGTGTGTGTGTGTGCATGTGTGTGTGTGAATGTGTGTGAGTCAGAGCCATCTGTCATAGCTGCTGGTGACTGGTTGAGATCAAACACTCCAACTTCAGCGAGGCTTTGCTCTTATTAGGCGTACAGCCAGCATCACATCCTCACACACATGCTTATTTTTCCCTCTATCTTTGCGAGGACTCTTGTTGACATACTACATTACTGAGCTCCTTAACCGAACCTGAACCTTAAAACTATGCCTGAACCTTCAAGCATGTCTTTGAAGATTTTATCCTACAGTGAAGACTAACTACATCAATCTCAAGGCTGCAAACTCAGATTGGTCCTCACAGAGACAGACAAGTACACATAATCATACATACATTACAACACTGTACAAACTAAGTTATTAATAAAAATGTCTCCCTTCTTCTTCTTCTTTTTCCACCTTATCCAATCTCTTCATCTCTGTTTCCTACTCCTCTCACCTCTATCTTTACAACCATCTTCTCTGAGCCCTTCTTTCTGGTCCTTATTTACCCCGTGTTATCTTCTGCACTTTACAACTAATTTTCTTTCTTCTTTCACCTTTCTCCTCACCCTACCCACCTCCCATCCAGTACTTGCCCGGGACTGTGACTCCGGGATAAACTCGGAGATCTCATACTTCGTTCCCAGCAGTGACTTCAGCATCACATCTGGGGGTGTGGTCAGCCCCGCCCGTCGTTTGGACTATGAGCGCCCTAATCACATCTATGAGTTTTTGGTGGTTGCAGTGGATGCAGGAACACCCCCTCGCACCGGGACGGCCTCAATCCGCATCCGAGTCGCCAACACCAATGACGAGGCACCCATCTTTTCACAGAGCGTGTAAGAATTATCCTCATTCTTCTACTCTTTGCAGCAGTTTTCATTTTTTGTCCCCTTTTGAATTGTTAATACAACTTTGTTTAATAATGAACATCAGCTATGAGCTTTCTCTCTCTCTTTTTTTCCTGCCTCACCCCTGTCGCTGTCTGGGTCTCTCGCCCACAGAGTCAATCTGTTAATTAAGTTTGTTTTTAACTCAGAATCTATTTTTAATCCCACTGTTCTCTTCCATCTGTTTTCACTTCATCTTCACCTCTCCTCTCGCTCCATTGTCTCTTTCACACTTTTATTTCTTCTACTTTTTTTATTGAACTTTTTCCTCATTCTGGCATCAGCCTATTTTTCTTTTCATACATTAATACCCTTTCATGACATCCTCCATCTCTTTACGTCTGCAAAGTGCTTGTATGCAGTAAAGAAATAACACATCTTCCTCTCTTCCTCTCTGTCAGTTATAAAACCTTCCTAAGTGAGGATGCCGGTCCTGACACTCTGGTTGCCATCGTTCATGCCAACGACCCGGACGGAGATGGCGTCTCCTACGCCATCACTGGAGGCAATGAGGATAGCAATTTCCTGCTTGACAACCAGAAGGGTAAGGGAGAGGCAGCTGGTGTACATAAAATGTGTTTCTTCTTTTATGTAAACACAAATAAGACAGCAAGCAGCTGAAGCTGAAGGCCAGCAGCAGCTTCTAGTCCAGGTTATTTTTCCTCAGGACACAGAGGAAGTGGGTTCAGGTGAGACTGGCTGAGATGTGGGTGCCAAGACACCTGAAGATGGAGACAGATTCCTGTTCTCCATTTATAATAAGTGGACCTGTCTGAGCCTCCTGAAGTCCATTATGAGCTCAGCTTCAGGTTATTTTTTGAGCACCAACAGGACATGTTCTCTACCTCTTCCCTGAATGCTGTCTCATCTTCATCAGAGATGAGCCCAACCACGTTGGTGTCATCAGCATACTTGACTATGATGTTGGTTCGGTGGTTTGGTGAACAGCCATAGGTGTCCAGGGGATACAGTAGGGGACTGAGGTCCAGCTCTGTGGGGTTCTGGTGCTGACTGACAGTTGCATTGAGAGGTGGGGGCTGAGTGGGACTGATTGAGGCCGTTTGGTTAAGGAGTCTTTGATCCGGGAGCAGGTGGCAGGGGGGTTTGAAGGTGGCCCAGTTTGGTGGTGATATAGCACTTCACAAACTGTACTTGCAAAGTGCTTTAAATAACATGAAAATAAATGTACGCTCTAGCATTTTGCTTATTAGGAAATGAGCACAACAGGTTTTCAGGCAAACCACGAAGCCAAATTTAATTGGCAGTCCAAATACATCAGATAACGGTTGATCTTAACGCCAACCCTCATTGGCTGATGATTCATCTCATATCCTTCTACACATCCAACTGGCATATCTCATATAGGGCACACTATTGATAAGGTTTTACCCCTCCCCACACTTGCTGCAAGCCACTTCATGTGCTTCTATCCTGGGTTTAACTAATCGGTGTCATGTCCACTGCCATTGCAGAGAAATGCCACCAAGTTAAAATTACTGCAGACATAAATAACAATCTGCTTTTAATTATAGTGGTTCTGACCAAACTCAACTAGTAGTGACATGCTTGCAGTTTACCCAGTCTCAACTTTTCTTGAGGGGGCAGGAAAAGAGCAGCTAATTACGCTAATGAATGCTGAGCTGCAGTTCAGATTTATTAAATGACTCATGAACAATTATGTAGACTTTACGTAATGTATATGCATGCACTAATGTTTTACAACTAGAGCATCTCTCAGAGCACAAAGCAAAACACTGCAAGTCATCTTCATCCAATCAAATAGACGAGACATGGAAGGTAGAAACGCTAACAGGTGGTTATAAAGGTAAAAAAAAAACTAAATATCCTAAGAAATCCAACTGATCTGGCTTTTAAGAGTTTTCAAGCAGAAACCAAGGGATGTTCTGGTCATCTTACGATTGGTCACTTTCAGTGCATCACAGCTGCACACAGACAAACAGCCTTTTGATTGACAGTTTCTGTTCCACTGCTACACTGTGTGAACATCAAGAGAAATGGCAGTTTATATAGTAAGGTTCATCTAGATTAATGCATCTAAAAGGAACAGACCTACATGCATTTGCTATGATTATTATAGTAAGACAGTAAAAAAAAATGCAATTATTTTTAGAATAAGTAAATAGTCTCTTCCTATGACCAGTACTTGTTGTGATATAATCCCATGGACCGACAGCAGCGATGTCTGCTTTGAATAGCACAAAAACTCATTAACTGATTATGAGCATTTTATTTGTTTGCCAGCAAAGTAGCTTTAACAGACACAAACAACACAAACAATAACTTTTATACACATACACACAGCAGCAGCATTCAGATCACTCTACCAAGCTGCACACACATATACACTCACAGAATAAAGTGATTGTTGCCATGGTGACGAGTATTTGGGATAAAGCTTGGTAGCATTAACAAGGCCAGTGAACCCCCCCTAGAAAACACGCACACCCAAGCACGCATAAATAGAAAGAACATGAACACACAAATGTGGAATCAGTGCAGGAATATATACACTATTAGAATATAAACTATTAGACATAATTGACTCATTTACATATTTGTCTCTGTATCTTTGTGAGGGTCAGTTTGAGCTAAGAATATTTTTTTATTGGTTCTCAGTTTGGGGCAGAATGATTTTAGGATTAAAGGGAAACTCACTGTTTCATACTGCATTTAGGTAAAGGTGAAAACCTTTCACACACACTTACTGATTGGGACCACTTGACAACAAGAAGATAAGCTTGTAGGCATTTTATTACTATTTCGAATCCTTTTTTTCTTTTGTGATTTTTTTAAAATCACATTGCATTTCTGAATGTTTCCTTTTCCCTTGCGCTGTTTATTTTCCTTATGCTTTAAATTGAGTGTAGATAATTGCTTCTTGACCTCTCCTGCCTTATCTGATTCATTCATATTTAAAGGATGTTACTGTGTTGTATGTGTGTGCAAAAAAAAAAAAACTGTATTCACTGAGGGTGAGGCGCCAGGGGTTGCATCATGTCCATCAGTTTTCTCACAAAAGTACAAGTATAAATGTGTATGTCAGAGAAAGACACTTTAAAGATAAAGTTCATATGCAGCAGTGAGATGTTCAGTCATATTTTTGCATGTTTATCTGTGTGTGTGTGTGTGTGTTCATGTGTATGTGTCTTTTTCTCTCTAAGCCGCTGTGCCACCTTATCACCCAGCATGCACTGCTGCACTGCTCTGTGCCCCCACACACATATGCGTCCATGCACAAAGAGATATAAACATGAACATTTGCACATAAATGATATTTTAAGACTCTCTCTCTTACACACACACACACACACACACACACACGCACACACACACACTCTTCAGCAGCAGATGGCCTTTGGCTTGCTTGGCTGTTCTGCTTTGTCACTTCAAAGAGTACTGAAGTATTTTCATGTAGATGTGTTCGCTCTCTCTCTCTCCCAGCCTCTGTGTCTCTATTCATGTTTGTACCAAAGCAGCTTATTTGTTTGTTTGTTTGCACTGCTGCTCTGTTATGTTAATGTGCAAGTGATTGTTAGCGCAGAAAAATATGACATTTGTTTTAGGCCCGAGTTAAACTAATGCGAGGTTTTTTACTGGCTGCAGTTTGTGCCAACAATCTGTGCTGTTGGTGACCCACAGAGCAGAAAACATCACAGCAATGCGTTTCATCTATGTTGTTTTTAAGCTCAACGTGTCAGTTGTCCTTTACACCAACTTAAGCTTTTACCATTGTGGACACAGAGGCTGGGAGCCTCCATCCACAGACATTCGGCATTTGTATGCGTATAACTCAAACGATGGGAAAATAACCAGGAAAATAGCCTGTAACAAATTTTAAAAGAACATAACATCATTATATAAAACTCCAAACACCTAAAAGTTGTGACAATGTAAAAAAGGTAAATTAAAACCTGATATCTTTGCATTAATATGCAAATATAAACCTATATTTTATAGACAGTAGAACATAGAAAACATAGTAATTTTTTAAAATGAGAAAATGTACCATTTCTAGGGTAAATCACACAGCGACAGGTCTCTCAAAATTTGAGACAGGGCCGTCCCATAAACATCTGGGAACTATATAAACCAGTTGATGGACCTTTGTGAGAGGAATGTTGGTCCATTCCTGTTTGCTGTTCAACAGTCCTGAGTCATCTTTGTCCTCGGTTGACTTTTTTGCTGTGTTTTCAATTGGTCTAAGGTCTGGACTGCAGACCAGCTAGTTCGGTATCCAGACTCTTCCACTATTTCTGCTGAAATAGATGCAGTAAATGGTTTAGAGTTGTTATTGTTAAGCATATGCAGGGTTTTCCCTGGAAAAGATTTTGTCTGGATCTATGTGTTGCTCTAAAATCTGTGTATACCTTTAATCATTGATGGGGCCTTTCCAGTTGTACAAGCTGCCATTTCCACAGGCACTGATTGACTCCCCATACCAACACTTTTCAACTGAGTTTTGATAACAACCCAGAGGGTCCCTCTTCTCTTTAGTCTAGACGTTTTGACATCCATGTTTTTCAAGAAGACTTTTAAATTCTGATTTGTTTGACCACAGGACAGTTTGTCTCAGTCCATTTTATACGAGCTTTGGACCAGACCGTTGCATTATAGAGCTTTGATTTACATTTTTGGAGAAACTATGTTTTTAGCCAATGATATCTAGACATTTCCTGAGTTTGTGCAATGATTTTCAGGGCAGAATCGTTCGTGTTTTTAATGGAGTTCTGCCTGAGGTCGCAAAGACCAAAATATTGATTTTCATCTTTGTCCCCACAGAGATTTCTCATGTAGATGATGAGATATTTAAAGTCTTCAGAATTTTACATCGAGGAACTTTGCTAAGATGCTCTTTTTTTGTACCCAATCATATTCCTCACCTGATGCCACTTATTCTACTTAGTTCCAAAATGTTCCTCCAGTTCAAATAACTGATATGTTCTATATGGTTTAGTAAGATTTGCACATCATTTTGTTTTTATTTACATTTTACACAGCATCCCATTTTTTTTTGGAATTGGTATTGTAACTGAGCCACTCAATTTTATTAATAATGCTTCATCTAACACTTGGCGTGCACCAGCCTTTGTAACAGAGTCATTTGCCATCTCATAACGAGAGATATTAATAGTCTGGTAAAGTGTAAATGCCATCGAAAAAAGAAGCCGAACACCCAACTGAAAACACTTCCATACAGAATTCAGTGTATTTATAGCAAAGTCAGTGAGCGTTTATAATTTGCAATTACATGTCTTGTTAAGGTGACTTAAAAATGTCAAATAGTTGAGGTGATATTGAGGCCCTTTTTAAAGACACAAACATCCTGCAGTTTCACTTTTATGATGTCTTTGAGGGAAAGCATAAACAGCAGAACTTACACTCTGTGTTCTCCTCCAGAGGAACGTGTAAAGTGAACAGTGTCCCCTGGCATTAGAAACCACTTTTGGATGAAACATGAAAGAAGCTGAAATTTGTATTTCTCCCTGTAGAAAATGTTGATTTTTATTTATATTTTTTTGAAAATCTGCTAAATAAAAGGAAACCATGAGCCCCGCCAACCAACACCAGCCCTCTGTCATATTTAAAGATGTGTTGATTACTTTTGGACTTCATCTGAAGACAAAAATGGTATAAAAGAAGTAAAAGAAACAAAAGTAAAGGCACAAAATAACAAAAAGGCTACTGACCATTAAGTGTTGTAGCTGCTAAAGGATAAAGCTATTTTATATAGAGTTTAGTGTGGCCCAATCTAAAGGCTTGAAAAGGTCACAAGATAAAACTTGAACTTTCATTATGTCCCTTTTTTTTCTGAAGGTATAAATTTAGCCCCAAGCAATTTGATCTGAGTCTTTTTGTGAATTATATTACAACTCTTAGAAATGTCAGAAAGTCCACCTGCACATATTCAATTCGAATCTGACTAAAAAACCTTTTCTACCCTAGTTGATTTGCCCCACCTGTGTTTGTGTGTTTAGGTATTATTAAGCTGCGGCGGAGTCCTCCTCCACGCCTGAGGGGACCACAGTACGTCCTCAACATCACTGCCACGGATGACAACGCATCTGGTGGGCCATACCCACTCAGCAGCTCAGCGCAGGTCATTGTGGGAATAAATGACATCAACAACAACAAACCACTGTTCAAGGAGGTGAGTCGAGTTATTATTTATTTTTACGTTATTGCAAATTAAATGACAAATTCTGACCCCTGACTTTGCTGTTTGGTTGTCAGTGTCAGAACTATAGCCTGAACGCAGCAGTCCTGGAGAATCAGCCTCCAGGAACGTTCGTCCTGCGCGTCCAGGCTCATGATGCTGACATGGGCGTCAATGGAGAGGTCAAATATGGCATAATGAACAGAGATGGAGTGGCATCTGGTTTTGATATTGATCCTGATACTGGTAAGCTCTACAGAAACACTCATTATAATTTTTACAAACAGTTCTTCCACAGCTTCTTTATTCAGCTACTCCTTTTAGGTATTTCCACAGTGGATCATCTGCCTCACCATATTCCTCACACCTCCTTCTGTCACTCCAAACATCTGCATTTCCTCCTTCACTACATCCATGAACCTTCACAATGGTCTTCCTCTTTTCTTCCTGCTTGGCAGCTCCATGTTTAAAATTCTTTTGTCACAATCCCTCCTTTCTATATATTATCAAAATCTCAGCCCTCTTTCTTACTTTTTTTCCAAAACGCTCAACCACAGCTTTTCCTCTGGTATGCTCATTTCTAAAGCTGTCCTTTCTGGTCGTATCCAACAAAAATCTTGGAATCTTAATTCACAAACACCTCTTTGAGTTAGTTTCTTAAGTGATTAAGGTTTTACTGTCTTATCAAATATGTGTGTTTCAAAAGTTTCTACATACACAGTAACTGTTGGATATAAGAAAAGCTTTACAATTCAGTCCAAACAATGACAAACTGATATTCTAAGTGTGCTAATGTCCTCACTGTGTGTCAGGTGTGATAACCACAGCAGTGAGTTTTGACCGGGAGCGTCAGAGGGAGTATACTTTGTCTGTGACGGCCACCGATCAAGCAGAAGAGCCGCTCATTGGAATCTGTCAGATCACAGTGCAGATCTCAGATCAGAATGACAACGACCCAAAATTTGAAAACAGCCGCTACCAGTGTGAGTACCATCACGACTCCTCCCAGTGACTTAGTCCGTCCGCTTCTTGTTCAACACAAAAACATCCTGTAGCTGTGTGTTTTGAGGGAGCAGAGGAAGTGTAGAAACCGTGTATTTGTCGTCACCATCACGCATGAATCTGCATCCTTGTAATCCTGGAAACCCCTTAGGACTGATGAAATGTTTGCTGGCAGGTCCCAGAGCTCTCTGTTTGTTTACTATCTGTGCAAATATGTGTTTTGATAAGCATAGTGTCAGAAGTTCTTCTCGTCCGATTAGAGAAACGCACAGAGTGTCTCATTAACTATTTAAGAGGCAGATTGAAATGTTTCTGGGACATGCATTTATTTAGCAGTTGTGAGTGTGTATGTGTTCCTTTAAAAATGATGGAAATGAGCTGGAAATCTTGAGCTTGTTTAGACTTTTCTTAGTTATCCATACATCATTATCAACATGTATTTCAGTGCAAAGATTTTCTGCTTAAGGGACAACACAATCACCAGCTATCTTTTGAGTTGGTAATGCAAACCCACACCATGTTTATGTTAAGTGTTTTCATATTTACAGTTGATATAAACAACTTTATGAAAAGAAGCACAAACTGAAACTTCAATAAATGAATGTAAAACATCAATTCTGCTTGTAAATTCTGGTTCTAGAACTAAACAGGGCTCGGGTTCCCTGGTACCTGTTATAACTCTGGGCTGTTTTAAGTGTAACCAAGCAAGATAGGAGTAGCAACAAGAACCATATGAATATGACATAGATTTACATTTAATAAAGAAAAAAAAAAGCAATTCCACAACTGTTAATCACATAAATCGATGTAAATTACAACAAAGAGAAAAAAATCTAAAAAGAAAATGAAATCATTTTGTGTATTAAAAATCCTGCACATTTAGTGATGCTAACAGCAAAATATCTTACTATTAATGTTAATTGGCATAATATAAACAAATGAAATTCACCATGGTGATGTAAGATTCTTTGTTTGTCAAAGTAAACCATGAAAGGAAAATCCTGTGTTTGCTCCTCCTGCTGGTTTTGGTTGTTTTTCTGTGACACACATTAGACTCAGCAGGATCTGACGTGATTATTCAGTTGAAATGTATCCAGTGAGACCCGCGACTGTGAAAAGGACATTATTATTGACATAATGCTTGAAATGCAGTATTACAGAAGCAAATGCACCTCGTCGCTGCTCGTTGTTTTTGTTGTCTGATCAGCGCTGACACACATCACAGTCAGCAGGATTGGAGGTTATATTCATAAATTTAAAAATGCATCTGTTGACTTTGCAGAGTGAGACCCAGAAATGACAAAATGAGGTGACAGACTGCTGATGCGGCACAATGTTGTGTTTCCATTATTATAATACCTGCTTACCAACACAGAACATAATGTTACACTGCTTTCAGTCAACTGTAATGATTTGGGTAGTCGTGCTTTAGACATACACAGTGTTTCACCATAGCGGTTCCTGTAATAGTAGTAGCAGTTGCAGTAACTCAAACTGGTGCTAGTAGAACTTCGCTCCCCATATGACAGCTGATGTTTTCCCTGTCAGACTTTCTGAGAGAAGACACTCCAGTTGGAACTAGTTTCCTGCGAGCAGCAGCTCATGATGATGACCAGGGGAGCAACGCAGCAATCACCTATTCACTGTCCAGACAGAAGCCGGCTTACCTGCACATCAACCCCAGCACTGGGTGGATTTATGTCAACCATCCGATCTCTCAGGTCAGCAGCACATCAGCAGCCCCTTCATGCTGCAGCATGATGCAATGTCTGCAAGTGTCCACACTTACAAAATTGCTTCTCATATCAAAACTGTCTCATTTCATTCTCACAAATTGCTAAAACTTCCTGGAAATGAACACCATCCTCAAAAAGAGCAATGTTTTGTGCTTTGACTCCCTGCAACAAATTACAGACAGCTCCAATCTCTACAATAAGGGTTATAATTATAATAATAACAACACTATTAGCACTTTCAAAACACACAGTTACAAATTACTTCACAGTCTGAATAGAGGTTTATATATGTTTGAAATAATCTGCTGGAAAAAGTGGGAAAAGTCATTCATGCTCAGCTGCAGATGGGTGGACACCATGATTGTACATCACTGTGTATCATCCTCTGCAGTGAGTATATGAGAACTAATCTCTGTATATTTTGAATATAGATATAATCCAGGTGGATTAACACTGATGATAATCTTACCATTCTTTAATGAAAGCAGGCTAACATTAATGTTAGCATAATGAATGATCCTGAATATTTCAGCATGTGGCAGAGTACAGTCTGTAACTGTAACTATGTTTTCAAATAAACAGGTTACGAGCTCTTTTGTTTATTTAGTAAAAGAAACATCCAACTTATTTGGAAAAAAAAAAGAGAGAATGCCACGTATGCAGTGGAAACACAGATGTCCCAGTTTTACACTGGGACTTGAATGCATCTTACAGCTGAAATTTGTCTCAAAGCCCCATGTGGAATGCGACTTGATTTGTGAGTATCACTGTGAGATGTTATGTGTAGTTTTAGGATACGCACAGAAAGGTTTTTGAAACCTAAAATTATCGGAAAACGAACTACTAGGTTGTGCGTAAATGAATAGTATTTACTCAGGTCGGGATGTACGCATTTGCAAAGTAGTTTTACGTGTGGTCAGATTGCTTCGTGTTTGTGTGCGGATCGAGGCATGCACTCCTGAGTCCTTAAAAGTTGCACACCAATTCAGTGTACACATTTGTAAATCATGTCCTACACATTTGCAACACGTTTGATGTGCATTTCACTCCATAGGTGCATATATATGAATTCTAACATATGTGTCAGATAAGTATGATGAAAACCATTTGAGAGCAAGGCACTGATGATGATGAGTTATCACTTTAGGTGACCGTTGTTGTGATTTGGCGCTATATAAATAAAATTGAATTGAACTGATACCACCACAGTTCTCTTATCTGTTAAAAAGAATGGTATGATTAGTGGTATCAGACGTTGGAGATAAGTCTAGCAGGATTCAAATGTAATATTAACCATTATCTAAGTGCATAAGTATCATTAGTAGTTTACACTAATGCCGGATTTTGGAAGTGGACCCATAATTCTCTGAAACAGTGGCTTATAGGGAGGGTATTCAAGCACAGCGGTTATGCACTTTGTTCACCCCGACAGCTTCCAAGCCACCCCAATCCAATTGTAAATGTCACCCTAAATCTATTTAAACCCTGTCCAGCTATGATGACCTTGTGCTATTTCCATGGAAGCACAGATGGTGGGCCATATCACAACACAAAAACATTTTTTTAATAATGAATAAATGTAATAAGCTGGATGATATGCACATAAAGCATATCCTCGGCATGTAAACAAGGCAATGCAAAAAATTAAACACAACTGGGATGTTATGAGGTCACAAGGTCAAAGTTATTTCCAACAGCAACAGCTGCTCTGATGTTTCCACTGCGTGAGGAATGAAAGTTGCATCAAACAGACTGTTGTTTTAAATCTTTAATGGTTGTCATCATTATGTGTGTCTGATTTCTCTTCAGTACAATCTTACAATGTCAAACTGAAAATCCATAATGAAGCGAATCCGTCTGTTAAGCTAACGTCGGCGATGAATGATGCCTACTGTTCTTCTTCTTTTGTCATTGTCATCTCCTTTCTGTTCTTCTTCTCTCTGGCTCTCATTTTCTTTTTAGCAGCACTTCAGTCAATAATTTAGCAAAGGAAAATGTATCCCTACCCACTTTCTTGATTCACTTTTTGCAAACAAACTAAAGGATCAATATTTTCTTTCTCTCTCTGCTTAAATATTTACAATTTTTACAAGTGTTTGGTCTTTCTAAACTATCAAAGAGCTACTTGATCATTAAAATTTGATTTTGAAGATAACAAGACCAAGTTTTAAAGGCAAATCAATTCTAAATAGCAAACACCCTTATTTGTTTGGTAAAACTTGTTAAAGCAAAAATGTTCTGATCAGAATCATGAGTTCCTTGATCTTAATTACTCCCTGTTCATCTCTTTGCAGACATCCAGAATCAACCAGCAGATTGTGGCCTCAGATGGAGGGAACCGCAGCAGCTCAGTGGAGCTTACTGTTATCATCACAAACGTCCACAATCAGCCACCACAGTGGGAGCAGTCCGAATACTGGGTCACTGTGCCGGAAAACACCGTCCGAGATGCCAAGATAGTGGTGAGTTTATGATGAGAACATTGAGCCCTGAAATGGTAAAATGATAACTAAAAAACATTCAACTTTCACTTTTCAAGAAACCATTTTTTGAGATGGATTGAGCTTTGTGACATGGTGTGCTTCCATGCCCATTGTCAGCAACAATACTTGGGTATGCTTTGGTGATGCAATGTGTGCAAGCCTGAACCGCTGATACAAGGCAGGATGGACTCATCCTTTCATGTTGTTTATGCCAAATTCTGACCCTACCATCCAGATGTCACAGCAGAAATCGAGACTCATCAGAAGAGGAGGGTTTTTTCCAATCTTATATTGTTCAATGTTGGTGAGTCAGTGCAAATTGTGTCCCCGGTTTGCTGTTTTTAGATGGCAGGAGTGGACCCCAGTGTGGTCTTCTGCTCCTATAGCCTATCCGTTGTATTAAGTGTTACTATTGAAGTTATTGTTGACTTCTTACCAAAGCAGTCTGGCCAGTCTCCTCTGACTTCTGTGTGTGGGAAAATCCCAGTGGATCAGCAGTTTCTGAAATAATCAGACCATCCAGTCTGGCATTCAAAGTCACTTAAATCACCTTTCTTCCTCACTCTGATGCTTGGTTTGAGCTTCTACGGGTCATCGTGAGCATATCTGCTGCCAGTTTGGCTGATTAGATCTGTTCAAATGATCATTAATGAACAGGTGTACATAACAAAGTGGCTTGTGAATGTATGACTGAAAAGGTGCCGGTCTGGGAACTGAAGCACACGTTTCTTTTCATCAGTATCAGTAGCCCTAAGAGCTCGGAGGTGACATGGGCGAGAGAAGGGGATGACTCGTAAAAAGGGAGGAATATTTAAACTCAGTCACCCTCCTGCAGCAGTAAAAGAGTTCTATTTCATTTACATCCTGCTTCACGTCTGTGCACAGCACCCCTCGGAGGCTAGAGATACTCTTTCTTCTTCTTCATCCCTCTCTCCTCACTTTCCAGCTCATCCATCCCTCTCTCTCTGTGTCAGCACGTTTAGCCGAGCACTTCTAAATATTTTCTGCCGAGCAAACAACAAACCCGCCCCGAGTCTGTCTCACCTGACTCACTGCAATCTCACACACACGCACAAGTGCACACACACTTTGCTTGTATACCTCTGGTGATTTTTTTTTCCTCTTTTGATCCCTCCATCCTAATTTGCTTCCTATTCCTAAGCTGATGGTTTCGAAGGTAGAGGAGTTTTTACCCTCCAGCTGCTCGATTTCATGGAGGTTAGTCAGTTTTCAAATAGTTGGAGGGTAAGTGTAATCCTGTGTGTGTTCGTGTGTTGTTGTGCTTCTTTTCGACACCGTGTTTTCGCTGAAAAGACGATGATGGTGATTGGGGTTCCCACCCACAGCTCCATCTGTCAGAGATGATTGAGCAGAGCAAGAAAATTACACCTGCTGTCGGAGCGTCACAATGGACTCCTATCACCTCAGAAAAACAGAGGTTTAATTATCGTCTTTAACCTGACAGAGGCTGTATGATGCAGTGAGAAGAAGTGAGGAGGGGGAGCTAAATTAGGCAAAGGAAAGCTTTATGGTACTGAAAGATGGATAAAAAAAGGCTGTGTGGATTTTGGTCTTTTTATGTTGACAGTAGGAGAAATATAAAATAACACGAGCTTTCTCCTTTAATCAGATCATACCAGTTGCATCTGAAAGAATACACTTTACACCAATGTGTTCCTTGTTGAATGTGTCTTGTTTTGTTCAAATTAACTGTGGAAGTGAGCTTTTTCTCCCTTCATCAATGTTTCATCTCCTTCACTTTTCATTCCTCTAGAAAAGGCTGAACCTTTCCACTACGCTCTCCCTGTCAAAAAGTATTACCTGAAAGCTGAGCCCAGATGCACAACTGTTGGACAAAATACTGGCAAAGGAAAAACAAAAAACTGTGATCAACTGAGAATCATCGGTCTGCATGTTGAAACCATGTATACATAATGTTTTATGAGCAATAAATTCAGTGGACAAATATGTTAAGTTACCCAAACCTGGCTACATATACAAAACAATGGAAGGCTGAAATGTCTCCTCCCTCTCTTCCTCCTCCCTCCTTTGTCTCCCCTGCGGTGTTAATTGCGCTGAGGAGGAACTGTTGTTTTAAATTTAGCAGCCTTAATAAGGTCTGTTAATCACATTGTTAACGAGGCAGAGGGAGGGAGACGCTGCAGAGGTGGAAGCTGCTCTGCGTGCGCGCGTGTATTAAATCTCCATATCAATAAGCTGAAGTCATCTCCTGCTTATGTGTGTGAGAGTCGCATGTTATAATAGGCCTCCTCATCAGCTGATTTCCTCTTGTTTTCTTCCTCATCCTGTTGATGTTTTTAGTGTTCGCTCTTATGCAAACACTTTCTCTCATGGCCACAAATGACTTTAAATATTCTCTTAGATTTACCTTAAAATCTATCTTCTAGCTATCCACTGATGCTTAAAAATCATTTGGAAAGTATAAAAAGCAGTTCATTTCGAGCATCTGATAAAAGAGATTACGTCTGATGTATTGCAGTATCACACAAAATGAAGGAATTTCTGACCTGTGTGCATTGCAGCTTTTTGAATAACGTGCAATAGGGATGGACAGTTGTCTGCCTTTTCATATCACCATATTTTCATTATGAAAGACTGCAGATAAACAATCCAGTCGCCATCGGGCATATGGGCCAGAGAACCTTCTATGTAATCACTCATGTTAAATGTCAGCATGGGTAATACTACAGTGTGGTATTTTGGTTCATTTTATTAGAAATTTATGCAAACGAGAACAACTACATTTTGAATTCAGCTCCAGAAAACACAGGGAATATGATAACAGAGAGCACAGTGGGGGGGTGGGGGGGTGGAAGGGCGTTGGAAGACACCGTCCATCTCTTTCTTTCGGTTGATTTGTATCAGTTTAATAAGGCTACCCACGTGATGGGCTGATAAATGAGATAATAAGACATGAAACACACGAGGCAGAAACACTAATTATGTTATTTGCCAGATAAATAAGCAAAGGAGCCATTAAAAGTGTAATTACCACATGTAAGCATCAAAAAATGGAGCAGACCCCTGCAAACACCACACACACACACCAACCCTGATGACCCCACCTTACCCTTTTCAGCTGACTGCTAACTGTTAGCATTTGAAGCTGACAGGGCAATCTGTATTCCAGCTGCTGAATCACTCTCAGCACCAGCCGCACCAGCTGAGAGCGATCTGCTGCGATATCTCCACGGGCATTAATCTGTGTGGGAGAGGAAGGCAGACACTGATCAGCTTAACTTCAGCACGCTGCACCGATGTCTAATGAGATGATTTCTCATTAGTCCTGATTCCATACACTTTGCTGCTTCGGCCTGCTGTGAGGCTGAGCCACGCTCCGCTAACATACCCTCGCGCAACTCTTCACCTGAAACCGGATGCCTTCATCTCGGGTCTGTTTGTGAGATTTTAAATTAACATCCTGTTTAAAAATTTTAAGAGACTACCAATGGAAAAACCAAACAAGAAAGTCAGAGTCCCGACCGTCCTTTTATAACTGCTGCAAGAAAGCAAAATGGATTAAAAGTCAATTTTATACTCATCAGTTAAAAATCAATATAATAAGGAGAGATCGTTTGGAAGTAAAGATGAAATTAATTGAAGAAACAGCATGTAACATAAAATTCTTTTCGGTTAATAGATTCTGATGAAAATCCACGTCTTAGAGCAGATGATATGAAAAGTAGGAAATAGAGATGGGAACCCCCGGAGTTCAGACAGTTGTAGTGGAACAAAGTTAGCAAATGACTTGAAGTGGCTTCGGTTGAGATGTTCTGCAATCTGGATAAGATGGAGATGAAGTGGAGGAAGACTGCATGATAGATGGTCTGAAAGGTAGTAGAGAAGTAGCACAGTGGCAATAATATTTGCAGAACAGGGATGCATGCAAATATACATTTAAAGCAGGCAAGAATTAAATGTTAGAATTAAGTGTTTTTCTCTTGTGTGTGAGAGTGTGTAGTCATCCCAGCATACTAAGTAGTTGGTAAATGCATTAGATTGAGACTGTTCGAGCTGCTGTGGTCACTGGGTCTGAGGACTGAAAGGGTTTCAGTGTTTGAAGTGGCAGACAGCATTTCTCACTCAGGGGAAACATGTTACCTCTTGTGGAAGTGACGACAAGGGCGACGGTTGTTCAGAGGTGATTTTCTTTCCTTACACTGGAGCTGAGATAGGTTCTCCCCTGCTTTCAGTCTTTGCTCGAAGCCACCATGTCCTGAACTAAAGGGGTTAAATGATTCTGTACTGACTGTACTTTATATTTATAGTGGTCATTTTACGGAACCATTTATAGATGTGGCGGTCAGGCTGACAGATGCACCGTTACACTGAATTAAGAAAAGATTTATTCGTAAGTGGTCGTCAGCAACCTTTTCTCTCCCACTCATCTGCCTGCAGGATCTTAGCAGGCATAGACAGCCCTTGCTTTCGCCTTGATTTTTCAGTCATGTCGTTGTAAGAAGATTTAAAAAAAATCATGCATGCTCCCTCCAGTAAAAGCATATTTCATCATCATTAATTATTATTACCAGAAAAACTGCTAATTAAACAGGTCACAGTACTGTCCAACAGTTCAAAAATCCTGCTTTAATGATACAAGAATGCTTCCATATTAATTGCTGTTACTCATACAATGACCCTCTTCGCAGCTTGCTACCGAGACCACCTGACATATTTTATTTGCAGCTGAGTGGACACAGGAATCTGAGCTGAAGCTACAATCAAAATAAATGAGCCCACTTACACTTTAGTGAACAAAAACTGTGGTGGTAAAAATCAAAGTGAGTCAATTAACTGGAAATTCGTGTGTGTGTGTGTGTGTGTGTGTGTGTGTGCGCACAGTCAATCCAGGTCATAGCTACTGTAAAATGAGGTGGCATCACTCAGCCATGGAAAATACAGCCCTTCCTTAGCAAGGTGGGGAGTGTGTGGTCAGGAAGGACAATAGCACACACCATATTTCCATCACTTCAAAGGACATTATACTGACTTTTTGTGCATTTCCTTCCAACTTAACCTAACTATGACCTTAACCTAAACCTGAACTCATTCTGAACATAAGCAAGAAGTTTATAGTAATAAAGTTTAATGATTTAATTTCTGTGCCCGAAAGGAGCAATATCTCCACAATGTGACTGTGTAAACAGATTTATGACTCCATTTCCCTGAGGACATAAATACACACACATACACACTTTCTCACTCTAAGGTCAGTTTAGTCTACTGCCAGGAGTATAACACAAGTCTTAAAAGCTCTGCTGCTGGTAGAAGAATAGATCAGGACAACACACTCTGATCCAGACACATATTTTATTTAAAAAAAACACAAAAAGGACAAACATCAACAAAGCAGAAACCGAATCCTTTTTGGGTATTTTGGAAAGTTTTCACCACGAGAGCTTTATTTCCATAGAAGGACTGAGTTGCACCTCTGGCCGTTAAAACGTCGCATTCTTTGAAATGTAGTTGTGTATTTTAGGGTGTCATTTTTCTGGTGAGTGTTATAGTTTAAAGATCTGGAAGCCGTTGGAGCTGTTATAAAGATGTACGACCTCGTTGTCGACACGAGCAGCTGTGTGATAACATGATGTCATCATGAACCAGTACAGACTCTTCTTTGGCTTCTGCCTTTGACGGATTATAACGCAATGTGGGAGTAACTGCTTCAGAAATGGAGATAAGTCTGTCTCTATAAACTCGAAGCCCAAAAGGAGTAAACAGAGGTTTGAGAAGATGAGTTTTCAGTGTCTGTATATGGGAGATCTTTTATTCTGTCTGCACTGCATGTAATCTGTCTGATTGATGATCTCTGTTCCTATTCTAGTCAGAAACGACCAACTCTGCTTGCTTTTGAAAAAGATGCACTTTTAAAAACAACTCCAAATACCAGGCTACATATAACAACACTGAATTTTACAAAAACAGTGATGTCAGTCAATATTAAAGGTTGTTTAAAAATACACACATTTTTAAAACTTTTAAAGTCTTCAAACTGGATTTTAAGACCCAAAGGCATGACATCAGATCTGAGCAAACCTACATTCGTCTTCTGCAATCTCTTATCTTGCAGCATTTCTTTTATATATCTTTTATAGATCTTGCATTTATATATTTTCTCCCATATGCCGCCTTCTAGTACTTGTATCAGAAGCTGCATTCTTCGCAATTCTAACTTGAACATTGATTTGTGAACACAAACTGAGGTTTGTGTACTCAAATCACGACAGCTTGGTTCTAAACTTCTCCATAAAGCTCAGACATAAAGGTCTAACAACTTCCACAGTATTTTGTCCTCTATATACTTCTGTATGTTCAGGCATATCATACATACCCCAAGTCTCATGGATGTCACTCATCCAAGCTCGAAATGCAGACTTTGACACTCTTTAAAGAGGACCTTGGTCTCTCACTCTCCATTCTGCTGTAACCACTTACACCTCGGCACTTAAGCCAAAGGACACCTTGTGCATATTTCTGAATGGCCAGTTCAATCTAACAGAAAAGCATGAATTGACACCCTGGGGTGAGAGTAAGTTGGTTCCACCCAAAGATGTTACAATTGGCAAAGGAATTTTAAATGAGATTTTCCAGCTACGTGAGAAGCAAGTTATTTGTTATTTGTTTTGGTGGTGCTCATTTAAAATAAATAATAACATAAATATATTTACTAGTAATTAATAAATGATACACAGTTCAACACGGAAGCTGGGATTTGCCACATAATTCCCTCTCTGATAATCAAAGCAAGCTGGATGCTTTGCTTTAGCATTGATGAGAACTCTATAACTCATTAATGTATCTGGAATATATGAGCAGCAGTCACTTTTGAAATCCATCATATGATCCTCAAAGGATGTCCCCAAGGCTCCTGCAGTCTCCGACTTTGTACTTTAACACTGAAACACCCTTGACAGTGATCATTACTGAGGATCAACGCAGGTAAATAAAAATAAGATACCAAGATATTTAATGTGGAAAAGATGGAAAACATAGAAAAGCAAGTTACTAGTTTGACAAGTTTGATGCTATCAACTATTTTTAAAGGGTCTTTCTCATGTGAGAAATATGTTTGTACCATGAGAGAATTTCAAATCTGAATTTCAGTCTCTCCCTCACTACAAAGGTAAGTTCTGTATAATCCACCATGTCTGTGAAGTCTCAATGGCCAGCTCACGCTTGCTGTCCCTTGGTGTGCATGACATCAGTATATTTCACAGTGTCATTTCCTGTCAAGTTTTTCTTCTGCTTTTCAAATCACTCTGCCCCTTTCTCAGTGGAAAAGCGACACACACAAAGTGATGAGGAAAAACCGTGACATTAGGAAGCGCAGGCGCACACAGTCATAATGTGCGAGCAGACGCTGGTTCTTTTGGATACAAAAACATATCTTTTGTTCTTTTCCCTCTGTCAACAGACCATCAAGGCAACATCTCCCCTCGGTGACCCCAGGGTGACCTACAACCTGGAGGAGGGTCAGGTACCGGAGACCAACATGCCAGTGCGGTTCTACATGAAACCAAACCGGGCCGACGGCTCGGCGTCCATCCTGGTAGCCGAGAACCTCGACTATGAGACAACGCGCTTCTTCACGCTCAGAGTGCGCGTGCAGAATGTCGCTGCTGTGCCGCTCGCCTCCTTTACCACAGTCTATGTTAATGTGACGGGTGAGTTTGTATGGTTAAGGGTCAAACATTTTCAACTCCTTTAGCCAGACTGGTAGTCAAAAACGTGGATTCAGTCCCATAGGTTTGTACAGGTAACCAGTCAACTTACAGCTCTTTCATTTAAATAGTACAAGGCCCCTGTTGGCTATATCCACCCAGTGTGAGTGAGTCTCAAAGATGAGACATTGACTTATTTGCATATTGATAGATATGTTCATAATTCTAAATATGCTATATTGATAAACAGAGCAATGTATTATTGGTTTAAAAGTTGCCATTACAAGGACTTTAAAATGAGTAGCAGAGTTAGTTCCATATGAAAGTCAACATTCAGCTCTGACCATCAAATGTAAAGAAGCCGTTGGTGAGCAACAGAAACTCGGGTGTAATGAGAGACAAGCTGGAGGAAATGACGAGAAGAGGAAGAGTAATGAAGTGCGGTTCATATCCAGGATCGTTTCTGGCAGAAAAAGAAGAAAACAGAAGCGACCGGTGGTGTCAGCTCTGTGCCGTCTCCCTTTAACAGTGACTCACTTCCCAAACAGCATCTGTAGGCGGGTGGAGAGAAGGAAAGAGGAGAAAACACTTCCTGACTTTGATTGGCTTTGAACAAACCCACATCGGACGCTGTAATTGGCTTAGCGGAGCTTGAAAGTGAGCTGACAAGCTGCTTTGTGGACTCTTCAGGGTGTTTGGAGGATAATTCCTCACTAATAACTCAGTTTTCATTAGTGAGGGTAGACACAGTCCAGCTTCACTTTCTGATGGACTTTTTTTTTTTAATTTGCCTTTTTGTCTCTTTCTGCTTTATTTCACTGTAATTCATCTTTACTTTTTAATCTCCTTTACTGGTGTTTTAAAAATCCAATCTTATTTCTGTCTCTGCCTTCTGTCTTGCTTGTTCTTTCTTTCTGTCTTTGTTTATTTCCTGCTCACTTTTCCATTCCTTCTAGCATTTTCTTTCTCTGTCTGTTTTTAATCCACTTTAATCAGCTTTCATGGACATGACAGGCTGTATGTGTTCTTTTGCCAGATCCTTCAACAACAAAAAAATATGAATGTGGGAAAATAAAGGATATTTTTTCCTACTGTTTCTTTTTGTTTTTTTTCCCCTCAGACGTGAACGACAACGTTCCTTTCTTTCTGTCGTCCACCTATGAGGCCACGGTTCCCGAAGGAGCGCAGATGGGCACGTCTGTGGCTCAGGTGTCAGCCACTGATCTGGACTCTGGTCTGCACGGGATGGTGAGAAACATCTGCACTGATCGTTAATGATATTCTACTTCCTGTTCTTTTTCCGCTTCACTGCATCTCTCTGTGTTCTTCAGATCCACTATGTGATCCTGAAGGATGAAAGTGGGGACTCTCAGTTCTTCAGCATTGACTCCCACAGTGGGATCATCTTCACTCGAGCCTCTTTTGACCGTGAGCAGAAAGCTTCGTATCTGATAGAGGTGCAGTCACAGGACGGCTCGGAGTCGGCCCGACAAGGCCAGCAGGGCCAGCCTAACACAGGTAACGCACAATCAGAGAGAAGGCGTGCAGTCCAATTAATATAGAAGAGATCATTTTGCAGACCTTATAAAAGGAAAGTCTAGAGAATCTTGGATGTGTTTGGATACGTTGAAATTATATTCCTGAGCAAAGCCTCCGTCCCACTTTGACTCAGACACAGCCTATGTCAGGATCTTCGTCACCGATGTGAACGACAACGCCCCGGCATTTGCCCAACCGGTGTATGAGGTGAGCGTGGAGGAAGACAAGGAGGTCGGCTTCGTCCTCATCACCGTCACGGCCAACGACGAGGATGAAGGTGAGTTAGAATCTGGCAGTTTTTCTGTCTCTCTGGGATGCACCTGTTGTAGTTGCTGTCAGTGGTGGCAGTGAAGTCAGTTCTTTGTGATTTCATGTGAACTTCAGTCAAACTGATCAAAGTCTCCGACTGAGTGTGCAGTTAGTCATAAAAACAAGTGTTGAGCAAGAAATTAGGTGCGTGAACTGAATGATCTGGTGCCTCCCTCTCTGTCTCTCCGTCTCTCCCCTCTCTCATTGAGCGCTGTTTGCTTTTCATACTTTTTTTATATAATCTTTCTCGTCTTTTTGCCTCTTTGCTTCTGTTTGGATGATTTGCATCCCCTCTTCTCCCCTCTCTGCTTTTCTTGTCTCAATCCACTCTAATTTTCTGCTCTCTTCTTTTTTGAATTTGTCTCTTCTCTTGATTTTTCTTAAGATAAACTTTGCTCTGTACAAGGTGACTATTTTTTTTCTTCCACTGCAATAGCTGGTGGTCATGTCTTATTGTAAAATCTTACATTAGAAAGTCTGGATCAGTTTAACAAAAGTGCACCTACGTTTTATAGCTTAAAAACCACTTAATTTTTACTGCTGTTTATTGCGACTGTGGGCAATAAATTTGAAGAGGTTTTGTTTGTTTGTTTTTATGTGTGTCTAAATTCAAAATCAGGCTGCCCAGGTTTAAACTAATATGTTACCTGCTTTAGTGAAATTATCCAGTTTGTTGTTGTGAGACCTCGCATGAAAACTTGATCAGTGTTAAAGTGTTACCACACAGGATTTATATGGTGGATGATATTACCCATTATCTATTCAGACCTGCAAATCACTCAGTCCGCTCTTGTTGTTGATGTAATACAAAGTGGGACACGCTTAACCAGTGTGGTTCACATACACAAAGTGAATGAAAATGAATGCTCTGTTGAATTGAGAGTAAACAGTTGTGCAGACAATC